GCCAGCGCACTTCCGAGATTATTCGTAGTATAGCCGGGAACTCGGGCTTCTGGTGGTTCATGCCCACCCCTCTCGATGAGCAGCACCTTAACACTTGCATCCTCTGACAGTCTCGACGCCACCACACTTCCAGCAGAGCCCCCACCGACAACGACGTAGTCGTACTCGTCGAGCAAGCCAGTGTTATCTGAAACATACCATAGTGTCTCAGCGCTTAGGTCATGCACACTGTAAAACACATCTCCTGAATTTCCAACATTTTAGCAGCAATAGCATGGCAAAAGTTGACGATATGACGTCGCGTTTTTTCGTAGGGCAAGTAAAAGTTTTGTTAATTTTACTGACATCCAAAATTTACGCGTTCACGATTGTTAACGTGCTCAGAAACTTTGTTGTACATAAAACTTGCAGAATTTCATACAGCCATAATATTTATGCATAACTATTATAGTGTGTGCATGAATATGCACATTTTGTTCAGAATGGCGCATAAAAATGTGTGCATACTTATAGCTCTATAAAATTCTGCAAGTTTATGCACAACACGATGCATAAGGGTGTAGTGTGCACACTAGCTCTTGGAGTGGGTGAAGATAGAAATAAGCCTACAGGGCTAGGAAATAGACAGTCCCCCCCGATCAGGCCGCAAATTCAATGCGCGTAGTCGTCAGTGAAGCGGTGGCGCGCAGTGCTGCTTACCCTTGGCTGCCGCCCACCACCCGCCTCGCGCGTTCGGTTGGGGGAGGGGGGGGGGCGTGTGCCGTGCCCAAACGCGCACGCCCACCACACACTCGAGGGACCGCTCTGTGCAACATAGAGTGAGAAGGAGTGGTGTGCCTTTGATCCACCGCCCTCCTCACTCCCCCCGCACGCTTCCTTCTCCCCCTCGCCCGTCTTCTTGACTGCTGCACCGTTTCGCAATATTAATATTAAAACATTACGGTCCGGCTCGCTCATGGCGCGACGCATTATCAACTTCTGAACGGGAAAGAGAAGGTTACTACTCTCGCATGAGAAAATTCCGAATTTATTGCGAGCAAACTATTCACAGTTTTGAGCGCGGTTAGTAAAACTAAATGTTAAAGGCAGGCTCGTGTTGTTGTCATGCAAACATGTCGACCAGAAATTACTCCAACTTCTAGCAATGTACAATCAGATTTACTTTTATTTTGAAGTGATCCCGCCGCCGGCCATTTAAAATATACGGTGTACAAAGACAAAGCACTAGTTATTTAAAGTTAGGCATCAAAATAATAGGAACTCAGATTCTACAGCGGTTCACATAAATTTTTTCATACTATGTCCTCTCGCCTCATGACATTTGACCGAACCCCTTTTACACAATGTGTTTTAGCTAATCGGGCATTCCTCCACAACACAATCAGAACCTAAAGAAGAAAAGCATGACTACCTGATCTGTTTCCTCCTGAACGCTGATTGGCTTCCTGATTGGCCAAAGATGCCGTGGCTGAAGCGGTCAGCCAATGAGCGCACAGAGGGAAACAGATCAAGCAGGCATGCTTTTCTTCTTTAGGTTCCGGTTGGCTTGCAGCAGAATACCGTATTGTACGGTCTTCCGTCGATTTTACTGTTTTTAGCTCGCCGTTTTACTTTGAAAAAGCTCTAGAGCGGACATATGCAGCCAGTGTCTGTCTGTTCAATTAGGTGGACTTGTGATAAAGACCGATAGAGACTTGCCACTCGGAGGGTGTCATATGGGTCACTTTTGGACACCGCGTTGGACACCGGCTACACATTTAAATTTTTCCTGAAAATCTGCAGTACTAACTAGCATGTTGAACTTAAAATCAGTAGATTGACATTTTAAACACTTGTTTTCAGAGGATGAACACTTTCCCAATTTGTGGGGGGTTTACTGTACGGTAAAATGACGTGATTATTACAGACATACAGACACACGACCAAAAATATTTCCCCTAGCAAAGGCTTCCCTATCGCTCAGCCAAATATTTGTGATGTGTACCCTAACTTCTCTTAAATCTGAAATATGTGTTTAAAAAATTTATGCATCTGGGCCAAATGAGCAAACCGATCACATTTTGGGATACATTGTCGCATTCCTCACAAAATTTTCGAATCGAAAAATAAAATACACTCGTAATACATTGAAATAAATACACTCGTTCAGGACTTGCGCGATCGCCACAAATTTAGAACCGACGGACTCGGAAAGGTGCACGCTAACTGACCCTCTTGTTCAAATTGAACACAACTCACTTCGGGGCCGCCAGGGTCGTCGAACGTGACGGTGGCGGCGTCGCGCGCAGGTGCCTCCGAACCTCGCTACCTGCGCCAGCGCCG